GTGTGCCTTGGCAGTTTCCAGTCACTTGCCCCATGCATCCAGCAGCAGCAGGCCATTCAATAAATAATAAAATCGGTCTTAGTAGACAATTACAACCCACTACAACCTTATAACATTTGTAATTGTAAATACAGATGATTGGATTTGTTGAAAACAGCTTACCTGATGCTGGGCTTCCATTTCCAGATGTTTGGCCTGCAGAGGATGTTTTGGGAATAGTGTTGCTGATTCTGGGCGGATCAGGCTCGACTTGGTCTGGTTTAATTCCTGGAACATCCTTCAAAGTGTCTGTGTTAGCCGTGGATGGGTTTAATTTAATTCCCGGGCTTTTTCTCAGAGCTTCTCCTTTAGTTTGGGACACGTTTGGTGTGACTGCTGAGATGCTTGTGTTCGTTTCCGCCTGACTGAGCGCTGGGTTCAGGTTAACTCCTGGAGGCCTTCTCCATGAGGTGGTCTTGGCTTGTGATGGGTTTGGGTTGATCCTCTGTGTCGTCTTCGCTGTCTGCGGGGAGCTAACGCTTGAGGTCTTCCGGAAAGTTTCTGTCTTTATTTTGGGCTGCAGCGGAACATCAGGAGCTCTGTGGACGGTCATACGAGGAGCAGATGTTGGCGAGTTGGGGACTGTGTGAAGAGAAACACACATTTATTTTAGATTGCCATGTAATGCAATGCCATTTCTAGATTTTCCACATATTAAACTATAGCCTGGACGGGTCAAAAGATTGTTTTTAATAGCACAGACGCTCAGGAGACTCTCACCGAGGCATGATTACCTCTCATAGATTATCTTTACAGCAGAGAGTGCAGCAGGAAACACTTCTCGGGTTGAGAGCAGGAGTGGCAGCAAGACAAACAAAACATGATTTATTGTGTGTTAAATTCTCCACATTTTTTGTTTAAATCTAATGACAAAGAGGCAGATTACATAATCACACAACTGTTCTGGTGTTTGACTCTAAAGGGGGACCGGACCCTATCCTGCTCATTTTCAGGTTGATTATTGTCTAAAGGTATATCCTTGAAATACATGCATTTTAACTTTTGCATGTTTTATCCTTGTGTGCTTTTGCCTGCAGAACTGATTTCAAAGTGGACCACAAAGAAAAACAGCCAGTTTTGCATCCAGGACATTTAAGATTTAAGAGCTTAAGTTCTGACCTCTGGCTCCTGAAAGACCCCCGACACATTAAGTTGTGCATCTTTTGCACTAAACCTGTGTTTCTCAAACTTTTTCATACCAAGGACCACTTCACCAATACAAAAACACTCGCGGACCACCTAACTCCACAAATATCCCAAAACAATAGGCCTGCTCACCACTCCAACAGTATTTAACAAATGACAGCCTAATAATGACAGCTTAACCTTCTCTATATCGCCTTGTTCACATGAAATCAACAATACAAATACAACTACAGATTATATAAGCATTTCGTTCAAATGCGATTTAAAATGCTCAGGTTTTACACCTCTTATGAAATGTAGTCTACATTTATTACGCAGTTTATGTCCGAGCCAACAGACTCACAGATCGTTGGCCACTGAGAGAAATGCAAAATACACCGCATGTAGTACGACACAAACCTCCGCTGTGGATTTTCAAAACTAAATACAGTAAAACTATGGTTGCAGCAGGCCCAAGTTTAACTCTCTGAGGTCTAAGACCATTTTTCACATGTTGGGCTCGCGTGGACTTTGTTTGCCTGCTCGGTCTGCCTACAAAACAAAATAAAAAAACGTTTATGCTCCAACAACAGCCTCTGATTCATCAACAGACTTCATGCAATGCTTCATCGGATGCATATATTAGACAATAATCTCTATCCAACTCCTAACACATCTAAATCTACTTCCAGCATGGATAAATGTTCATAAAAGACATCCATTGTTATACGCTTCTTGAAATAAAAATAAAAACACATCGTTCTTCTTGAACAGATTACAAATCACCTGAAAATGGTACAAACAAGTGGCAACATGTGTGACGAAGGTGTTGTGCTGGGCTATATCATGCAATCAAAAGTTAAGCTCACTCCAATGCGGAGATATTTCCGGGAGAGTGCGGAAAACTTAAATGTATTTATTTATTTCAAATGGGAAATTTTACCAATATAATCACGGACCACTAGGGGGCGCTCACGGACCACCAGTGGTCCGCCGACCACACTTTGAGAAGCACTGCACTAAATTAACCAAGGAGGTCAAATAAGTCCAATAGAGTCTCTTTACTGGAGAGGATCAAATGACTGAGAAAAAAAAGAGGATGATGAAATCCAACGATCTGTCTTCAAAATGCCATAAAAATGCCAAAGTAATTTATAGTGTGTGCTTTGCTCCCAGCCAAATCCTCCATTAAGGGACGATAATGACATGAAACATGGATGTCATTTGGATATTTCCCTGCTTAAATGCCATGTTTCAAGTTTCTGATTCAAGGACAACAACGCATTTGCAAGAAAGCCACACTCGACATCTAGAGATGATTAGTAACTGCTATTATGGACTTTTAAAACACAAGCTCTGCTTTTATCCGGCACGCATTAGCTCCAAATTACACCCAGAAGTCTTGCAGAATTTATCCCTGCATACAAATATTTTCGCTTGTTTGCGGGTTTAATTTGTTTTCAATCATCAAACAAGCTCTACATTTGTCTAAAAGTATTTGAAATGTGCAGCCTTGCAGCATCCATTGGTGCTTTTCTACACGTCTGCCTTTAGAGTCCCAGTAAAGCAGCTTTATAGCTTATACTTCTGTAAGTATTAGCTACGTGTCTACTGTGTGAATTCAGATCCCTGCATGTACACAAACATTGTGTGTCAGTCCAGTTTTTCAGAGCATTAACTCCAGTTAGCAGTGGCTGTGATTCGAAGGGTAGCACACTATCAGCTCCCATCAGCCATCTGGTTTCCATCGTCAAAAGAACTGCGTTCCTCAGAGACGCACGGCTGCAGACGCTCTTATCCAATGTGATTGTACAGCAACGTATACGTAAATATACAAAACAAATGAGATGCATGCCCCATTTAAGCAGTATCTGATAAAGTCATGTTATTCCTGGTAATTAGATCCAGGTTTATGGGAAAGAGCAATGTCATGCTGTATGTTTGCACCGTTAGAGGTTATTTCAGAAGTGATTCATTCTGCACTTGATGTTCATGCTTACCTGTACATATCGTCCCATTTCCCAGCATGCCTTTGGGGCACGGGCCGCAGCTATAGGAGCCAAATCGGTTGAAGCACAGGACTTCAGAGAAACACGGCGTCTCTTCACACTCATCGATGTCCTCCAGGCATGTCACACCTGCAAACACACACAGGAAATGATGTCTACAGATACATTGTTTATATTTGTATTACATAAATAGATGTTTTTGTAAGCACATGCACACACATTGAAAGGAGTTTCATTAAGGTCTCACCTGTCACCCCTGCAGGACACTCACACCTGTACCCACTCTCTGTGTTGATGCACGTGCCCGCCGCGCACGGGTCGGACAGACAGTCGTCCTCATGCTGCTCGCAGAGGTCGCCCTGCGTCCCCTCAGGACACACACACAGGTACCTCCCACTGCCTGCTGGGAAATGAACGTCCGTCACGCAGGTTCCCCCGCTCTGACAGCCACACGACACCACGTCGATCTGCAGCACAGAGACAGACACACTGCTTAGCCATGACACCAGTTAATTCAAATATTTAAAAACAAAATAAAAAAGAAATATTTTTTTAATCAGTTATTTCCTAGTAAAAGGTGTTTTGCCATATTAAATATCATCTTTAAATTGACAGGGATACATTTATCAAAAAGTCTTTAAACTTCCACTTATTCCATTATTACTGTGTTAATATCTCATAAAATTAAAACCACATTTCCCATAATTCCTCTTCCTCCTCCTGCTCTACCTCCACAGAGAAGCTGCTCTGGGCGTTGCACTCGTCGGACAGCGTGAAGCGGACAGAACGCTTCGATGGACGCTCCTCTTCCTCCTCCTCAGAGAGCGACGGGACCCTCCAGATGAGGAGGCCTGCAGGGGACAGGACGCCCCCCCCAGGACCCTCCTCCAGCTGGAAGAGGAGCGCCGAGCCCTCGGGGTCCGACGCTGCGAACTGGAAGACGAAGTTCTCCCCGGAAAACGTCCGCAGGGCGCTCTGAGGCCGGTGGAAAGATGGAGGCTCGTTGACTAAAGACAGAGGAGAGGAACCACAAGCTTTGCAGGGATTGGAACCAACCAACGACAACAACATAAGGTTATCAATCATATATTCCTTTCTTATTTCACATTATATCTACCTGCTTAAAGTTTTTATTTGATGATTTTAACATTTTTCTTAATTTTGTATTCTTTATTCCCTTATTGATTTGTACCTTACTTTACTTTATTTAATTGCTTATTTTAGTGTTTCTTAATTTTTTTAATTCCCTGGCCATTAGATTGACTTTGTTTTGTTGAGTGTAAGTAAGGATAACTGTCAGTCTCTGAGGCTGTGGTAATCAGCCATGTGATTTCTTTTCTCTCCTCTATCTCACAGCGGTTAAGCGACAGGTCAGGGCATGCTGGGAAATGTAGACCTCCGTTCCTTTGATCTGCTAATGAGGACAAACAGGACCACAGTGTGACGGCTGACACAGGAACAGCGTACTGAAACGGTAAATAAAGATAAATACTGTTTCCCCTGGTGTCCATCATTAAAGAGCTGCATGTCAAAAACACTTCCTGGAGGAAAACTCAAACATCCCTGAACACTGAAGCGTTACTAAGGGGGCCTGTTTGTTGCTATATACTTTTATCACTTATTGTAGCTGATAAACTAACATATAAAAGAATGACCTGATTATCCATGGTTATTTCCATGATGTATTGTTGTTGTTGTTGATGATGCACAATCAGCTGTTTGTACCTTGATTGACAGACCAGGTGAATTTGGATGTGTCGGGGTCACAGAGGAGGCAGGGGCTGCTGGGGCTGGAGACCCCCGCTGCGAAACACATCCCGTCGATGTTACACGTCTTCTCCTGAAAATAAAAAGATCTGTTTTAAGTTTATTTTCCTTTTGTGGGATTTCTCCGGAGATACAAAACAGGAAATCCTGTGCTCCATCTGAACTCAAGTTAATTCAATTTAGTCCAGATCTGGCATGCATTTCTCTTAGTGTCTAAGTACATCAGTTCACTCCAGGTTGTTTTGTAAGGATGCATGTTTTCCTGTCTCCCATAAAAAGCCGTTCCAGCAACAACAGGACCTTTCAGCAGCTTTGCTTAAAAAGCAGCTGCTCCATGTTTAAAGAGGAGGACGGGAACACACACTGTCTCTGGTTTAATCATTTTAACATCAACAAGTTTAGAGAATAGATTCTGCAGCTCTAACAGGACGTGAATTACCTTTAACTTACAGAGTCCTGAGCGCGACGCCTCGCAGATCTGACACACCCCGTCGTAGATGGTCAGCACTTTAGCCTGGCTGTACTGAGAGCCGTCGTTCGTCACCTGAGACAAGAAAGAGAGGGGCTGCAGGACAGGCTTCCTTAAAACACCAACAAATAGGAAAAGATGAGAGGCATTACTTTAATCTCCCAGCGTGCGTACGGTTTGTCGTCCATCATGAAGTCTTCTGTGTTTACTGCCGTGATGCTTAAAGATGGAACAGCACAATCTAACGCCTTGGAGTTGAGGAAGGCGGCTTTCGTCCTCTGTTTCTCCCCGGGAACCCAAACTCCGTTCATGTACTGTGGACGAAAAAAAAGAAGACACGAGTCAGAGTAAATGTTTGTTTTTTTTGCAGGCTCTTAGCACGACCTTCGACCTCCCTTCACCTTTAGTCTGGTGGCGTGGCAGCTGAGGTCGGGGGAGTCGATGAAGCCGAGGCCGAACACTCGGACGCTGCGACAGTTGAACGCTCGGATGTCACAAAGTCCTCCGTTCTCCAGATCTGTGACCTCCACCGGCTGGCCTGTCAGAGGAGAAAGGACCGTGTGTAAAGCTCATTACAAGACTATTCAAACAGAGCATCGTAAGGTATTTCATTGTAAACCCTGATCCACTCACTGATGGTTAGGCTGCAGTCGTAGAAGCTGAAGCTGGGGAAACACTGGCAGCCCCACTCCGTGCACTCCCCGTTCCCGTTGCAGAAGTTGGGGCATCGCAGCGCCGCCACCACCTCCTCCGTGGTGGACGTCTTCTCCGAGTCTCTCTGCGTTCGGTTCTCCAGCAGCCTCCTCTCGCACTCGTTCTCCAGGTACGGCAGCAGCGCCTTCTCCCAGCCCAGGTCGTCCTTCAGCTGCAGGTCCAGCATGCACAGATCCACCGCCTCGTCCAGCCTGCGACCCAGCAGCCCCCGGCACACCGCGCCCACTGTGGAGTTACCCAGCGCCATCTGACACACCTCCAGAGCTTTAGATGAAGTGAGGCCGCTGGGCGTGGGCCACTGAGGCTGCACCTCCTCTCGGGCCTCCTCTAAGTGATCCTCTAGGAAGAAGTAGGCGAAGCTCTCCAGGTCGGTCTGGCTGAGGCTCTGCGCAGCGAACACAGGTTTGAACTCATGTCTCCTTGTCCTGAGCAGGAAATCCTCCCTGAACTCGCTCTCTGATTCATCTCCGTCTTGCAGCCCCCTACTCTCCAGACTGATGAATGATGACATGTCCAGGATGCGCTCGTCCCTCTCCGGACTCTTGATGTACTCCACTGTCGTGTCCATGGAGGGGAACACGGATGTGTAGTCCACGTCATCATAAGCAATGCAGTCGGAGTGGGCGGAGGGATTGTACAAGTTCCTGATCCCTCTGTCGCTGTATTGAGGAGCGCTGAATCTTTTCTGACACTGACAGAACGGACGCCTCACTTCCTGCGTTTTCCCAACAGGCGTCCGGTCGAATAAACTCTCACCTGGAGCTATCCTAACATAGATAGAAAAAGAGAAAGAAATGTTTTTCATTTAATGGACAAAAGAGTGGGGAGTGTCCAAGTATGGAGGGAACACAGGGATGTTAGACTTTGCAGACCATTCACATTAACTGACCTCCATTCCTCTATGAATCGGTGCAGGTCCTCGGGGCCGTAGATGCCCCCGTCTGATCCGTGGAAGTCGTTGTGTCCGTTGCGGTCGAAGGTGCCGCAGAGGCCCTGCGTGTGTCCGAAGTCGACGCTGGGAGCACGGACAGACAGACTCATCCCCCAATCGCCAACATCGGCCCTAACAAAGGCCCCGGAGGGAAAGATCAACTACGAGAGGAGAGGCACATCCAGCAGCTCATTAACATCTGCCCATGCAGAAAAAGTGAGTATGAAAGTGAAAAGTTATGATTGTAAACCAATAAACAAAGATCCAGCCAGCGATGATTTTTTCACACAAATCTCCATCAGTGTCAAAATGTTCGGATACCTACGGTGACCTTCTTCCCCTGGTGGGCCTCCAGCACGCGGACCCGGCTGCCCTCGCTGTCCCCGATGTTTCTCAGCGTTAACACCGGCCTGGTTTCCTGCGGCTGCCCGTTGCACATGTCGAACACGGCGATATCGTTCCCCTCTCGCGCCACAACGCCACAGTTACAGGCCACGGCATAGTGTCTGCTGCCACAGTCCCACTGACGGGAGTGCACCTCAAAATCCCTGACCAGGCTCCGGTAGAGGGTGAAGGTGCCGGTCTGGTGGTTTTCATAACGTCTGAACAAACACACGACAAAAGAAGGATATATACTGTAAGTGAGATAATATACTTAAGTTATCTAGGTAAATTCACTTATATGCAAACTAGCAAGCTTCTGTTTGATTCGCATGGTGACATTTGTCTCCTTTCCCATGCAAAACTGAAATCCCCATTTGGCCGCTAATGACTTATTAAGAGGTGAATTACCTGCCGTCCAGAGTGATGACATGAGGGTCAGTGAGGGAGTAGCAGATGGAAGTGGGAACGTCCTGAACCGTGACCTGGGGGCAGAGGTCAGCAGAACACAGATTATTAGAGACTGTCCCCGCCGTGACCCCCTTGCCTCTGGCTTTGATGTTTCCTCTGACACAGATGGGAAAACTGCTCCGCTTTAGACCCTCAGAGACACAGTGTCTGCTGGGTTTACATCACAACGTAATGACAGCGTACGGCAGCGCTCCTTCAACATGATGTCAGCCCATCAAACGGGTACGCTTTGGACCCCAAACACCCACCGTGCCTTCTGTTTTATTAAGCACTGTACAACTGTGTGTATATGTAAACAGTATGAAGAAGAGACCTTCAATTAGAGCCGTCTTTCTCATTTAAGTAATACCTGTAATTATATCAAACTGCAAATTATAACTCTTTGAGTCTTGGACGCTTGTGTCCACTTAGAAAATTCACGATACCCCCCCCAGGAACCACCTCAAAGAACCAAATTAAAATGTGTATTATACCAAACTGACCTCTGGTTCTCAAAAAGGCCGCTTTTATGACCCTGAAGATCTTATGGAGGCTACTGAAAGACCCCTTAAGTATCTTTTAGTTTCTGTGAACCAATCAACGTCCACTTATCAAGCTCTACAATGGACGACGAGCGTTCAAATGCATTCCTCAGACTCCACTTTTCCCTAAAACCTCTTCAAGATTTCCAGGATCCTCCTCACAGACCTCTTGAAGCCCCTGAAGTATCTGAAGTACTTGATAAACCTGTCCAATTTAAAAAAAAACTTAAATACACGCAAAATGGACTTGACCTTCTTCATGAACACCTGGAAACTCTTACGAATATCTTGAAATCCCTTGAAAATACCACTAAACAGATTTTGATACAGACTTCTTGGATCGTCTGCATGGAAAATAATGTTTGAGATTCTATTTTGAAATGGCTTTGAATCAATAAATAACATTTCAATCAATGCGCAACTTTTTTCTGAGCTCCCGGAAAACCCTTAAGGATCTTTTGAGCGACTCTATAGATGACTTTTAATTAATCTTTGACAATAAATGCTATTTTATACTCACTTTCAGGGACGTTGGGAAATAGCTTCTCCAGAGGCGGGGTGCGTTGGACCCGGGGAAGACACTGATCAGACTCAGGCGATTCCCGTCTCGTGTGAAGTCGGTGACGGCGGTGATTAAAACCGTGGCCCGGCCGCAGCTGCCCCCGCTACAGGCGTTGGGCCGCAGCTCCACATGGCAGGCCGACAGCGCCACGTTTGGGGACTCGTGTCCGGGTCCGTCTGCGGATGTCAACACAGACGTGAGTTAGTGTGAAGGGACGATGCACAGCTGCCTGCAGCACTGTAATCATGTTCCTGATGTTTCTTTGATGTGAGGACGTACGGGGCAAGTCACAGCAAAACACAAGAAATGCTTTCATGCATGTTGTCCTGGAGCCTACTCTGATCTAATTGAAGGTGCTTGTGACGATGTTTGCACCTTTCAGCGATAGCAATCCCTTCTAAAATATATGATATAGATAAAAAGGTTAGTTAGTTTCTCAACAGCTACTTTAGTTGCTCTTTTTTGGTCAGTTTGTGTCATTTGAAGCTACTGCACTTGCAGGATCCTTGCTGTTCTGCATCTGTATGACTCAGTTGGTTGATTGCATTTATTGTAAGTGGTTTTAGATAATGTCAACATGCAGCACTCTCATATCTGATGCTTTTCCCTGCAGGTCTGACCTGGGTCCTGCACGCTCAGAGCCAGAGGGACCCCACACTGGTGGCTGTGGTCGAAGCAGGGGATGGGCACCGTGCTGTGCACCGTCACCTCGTGCTCTTTACTGTTCTCCACTATGTGCAGCGATTCTGGAGAAAACTGGAGAGAAAGAAGTCATTGGTCTAACTGGGAAGGTTTTCTCCATTTGCTGCTGTACGTGTAGATTGGAGTTCTCTTAAAATATAAAACACATGTTTACCTTCAGTCCGGCATAGAAACCCTCACTTTCTTTTGGAGTAGATCTGCTTTGGCTGGAGTTAGCTCTGAAAGTCGACACACTGCAGGAGAACTGCAGGAAAACATGTCATTAAATAACACATATTTAAGGAAAGATAAAGACATATTTTTGCCCTCTATCAAGGTTGCATTTCCTAAAAGAAAACCTTCCTGCCCTACATAGATCCAATTTAGTGGCTAAAAATGTGTTTTCTATATTGCATCGTATGAAAAAAAATGTATATATGGTCCCCTGGTCACTAGAGCGTTTATAAAAATGTAGATGACCTTTAACCGGACTCTTCATCAACACGTGTTAAAGAAAGTATCTGAGCGAGCGCAGACCGCTGCAACACTCTCCAGACACAATTAACATAACCCTGGTGTCCAAATATGGAGAATGAGCTCAGCTGAGCACAGCTGTAGGAGTGACATCACCTCACAGGGCATCACGTTAGAAATGTAATCACTTAATGATTCCTGGCAGGAGATAATTTCTCTAGGAAGTTAGATGCCTTCAGGCTCTGAAGCTGTGCAGCATATTGCCATCGCTAAGCAGTTGACCAATCAAAGCAGACTTGGCTCTGGTTTATGACAGAGGGTGAAAAGAGGTGCTGCAGCACAGGCAGAATGAGAAAAATTCAGATTTGTTTGAAGACATGTCACAGTAGAGACACTAAATATAATTATGAAACCTGAAAAAGGGCCCCTTAAATAAAAAAACTTCATTAATGAGCAAATAAAAGTCTTCCGCCCTCAAACAGCTGACAGATTTCTTCCTTGTTTCCCTCTCACGAGAGCCATAGTTCAGCTCCTGCTTATTGTTCAGTAACACATGACTTTCCTGCTCCATTCTAAACAGATGCAATCAACATTTAGTTCCTCTTCTAGGTCCTGGATTAAAAAATTACTTCATCTCTTTAGGCAAAATGCTGACTACGAAAAAACTAAAACAGGCTGTCCAAATGTTGTGCGTCACCCTATGTCGTCTGGTACCAACATGCACATTCACTTTGCAGCTTTAGAGGAGTAACTGAATATGCACTTAGTTCATGTTACAGAGGCTTGCAGCAGAGCAAACAAGCACACCTCCTGAATCTTCCAACTTCCTGTCAGTGTGATGTTGGAATCTGGACACTGAAAACAGCTTAATAAAGCCTACGAACAGAATAATAACTTCCCTAGAATTCTCTGTGAAGAGTTGAATGAAGGGGTTTAAATGTGAAGCATGTGAAGCCTGCAACTGATTTAACGTCCCGCCCTCCTCTTCTCTTAACAGGATATGACAAGCCTCTCTGCCTTTACTTTGTGAAAGAAAGAGGTCGGCATGATCCAGGGCTTACACACTCCTGGGGTCAAACCCTCCACATGTGCTCCTCTCAAACCCTCATCACAGTCTGGCAGGCATTACCGTTTCTCCGAGCCTGAAGTGAACGCCGTCCATCTCCACCAGAGAGAAGGGCTTCAGCGTGGACTCCTGCCGGATCTCTGCTTTCATGCTGTGGCCGATGTGTCGCGCCCACACCACCTGGAAGCCCAGCGGCCGGCTCCACGGCGGCGGCACGAAGGAGCACCTGAGGTGCACGCTGTGGCCGAGGAGCTCCGCGGAGATCAGCGGCCGGGACGGCAGCGAGGGGACGGAGGCTAGAAACACACACAGAAGAGATTCAAAGGCTTTGAAAATGAAAAAAAATCACATGTTTTCTTTTTCAAAGTACATATTTTTCTAACTTAGAGTTGTACTAATAGAATTCCTCTCACCTCTGCAGCGGCCGTTCACTTCTACTTCCCCTGGTGGGCAGAGTCGGGGTCCTAAATCTGGCGTAACTGAAACATGAATCACATTTATTAATTTATTATGATGCACAAATATCAGCCAGTATATATCCTTATCAGATCATAAATCGATATAGGTATCTGCCTCAAAAATATAGTAATCTAATAATAATACCATTTTGTTTGTTACAGATTATCTCAGGTTCACCTTTGGCGCAGTATCCCATGCACCCCTGCGTGGGCTGCAGGCGGTACACCATGAACTCCCCACAGTTGCGCACGGTGACGGGGATGCGGAAGAGGCAGCAGTCCTTGGCGCTTCCGTGGAAGAACTGCCAGGTGGCGCAGGCTGAGAGCTGCCGGAGCTCGCCGGGGCGCGGCAGGGGGGCGTCCTTCAGCGACAGCCACACCGGAGCCTGAGTGCCGCAGTGGTTCATCTGAAAACAGGCAATACATCCAAATGTATCAATAGATTGGTGGAGGGATGGCATAAGGACTTATTCCTGCAGCACTCTATATTGAACAAATGAATCGTATGTCTCCGGTACTGGCAGGTGATGGACACACGAAGTCCAGAGATGATTCCCCGGAGGTAAAACATTACCTGCAGGTTATTTGACCCTCCACCTGGGCTGAAGGTGCTTATTACAGGATGCTGGATGCTTGCAGGTAGGTACAACACCATTCAGAAGTCACAGTAGGGACACAGGAAGTGGAACAATTACATTTTGTTTGCCCCTGTTTTTTGTGCATACCTCTACGCAGGAGGTGGGCATCTCCGCCGGCTTGTTGTTGATCCAGAAGCGGTACCAGCCCGGGGACAGAGAGTGGTCGCAGATTAGATCCTGGATGGCCGTGTCCTGGATCTCCGTGGAGTCAAAGTGGACGCTGCGATTGGGGCTACGCAGAGTCCTGTGACCTCCGGGGTAACACTCTGGAGCTGGAAGGTAGACATCACACACTGATTTAGCAGATGTGTTTTAAGTCTGTAAAAAAACTCTTTTTGGATCGTCCTCCTTTCCCTCTTGTCTTTTTCAGTTCCAGATCTGTGAATTGAATCATGAGGAAATGAAAAACTGCAGTATCTCAGACCCTGTTTCCCCCCGGAGTCGTGTCTCTATCTTTGACTGAGTCCTAGTGTGAGGTCTGACGACAGACAGGATGAAGATAGACAAAAGAAAAGCCTGCGAGGGAAATATGGAGGAGTTCACTTTCTCCCCTGACACTGCAGGTAAAAAGCTTCAATTACACTTGAATGTGGACGTTTGTTCTTTGGGGGTAAAAGTTTGACAAAACAGTTAGATCCAAGGTCGATGTACAATAATATAATTTCAAGAATGTCCTTTTAGAAAGAAATCAACCATTTAAAAATTAAATTGAGCACATTTATCCAATCTACATCCCGCAGAATTATGTTTAAACACCCGTCATTTGTTGCCGAGGAGCTTCACTATCAAAGGCAGCGGAGAATGGGTGGCAGAGTCATGTGTTTGACTTTAAACTGTCAGCTGGCATTGAGCAGATGAGCAGGAAGCATCACAGTTATCTAAATCACGTAGAACAACAGACATTCCTGCTCGCCTCTCGCCTCTCTAACCTCACCCCGGGAGGAGGGCAATCAAGCCGACAGCGCATGACCGCCTTCCGAACACCTCCTGCAGCTGCTGGGGGAATTATCTGAGAGGAACCTGCAGGTCTTCACACTAACACACTCTGAAAAGCTCCACACCTCTAAAGAAATATGCAAAATCTTCCCTTTCTGCTTCTTTTTTGTGTGTTTTCTAGACCTGATTATTGGTTAGTATGATAGCTGGCTAAAAAAATGAATTTATTCTCGTAATCTGACATCTTTTTGTCCAAATGTAATCCTGACACGTGTTTCAATTAGCTTAAATAACCTTGATGTCTTTCTGACTCTGCAGGTCCGTGTAATCAAATAGAACATGCCATTTTCCACTCAAGCAAACTCTGTAAGCTCCACATCTGTCAAGAGAAATGGCTCAAAGTCGGGGGCTTTTCCTAACAACGGCTGTTCCCTTTCCCCTGTTTGACTTTGTGGCGGCTGAGCAAAGTCAGGGAACACAAACACACCAGGTATTTAGGATGTTTTGACACTGACAAAGCCATGAATGGACAGGGCGAAGTTACAAAGCCTAAACAAAGTCTTACAGGCGGGGTTTGGTGTTGACAGCCCCTGGTGTTTACCTCGTCTGCATGTTCCCCGTCTGCAAGACAAGACTCGGGGTCACAGGTTGTGCAAACACCCAGGACACTCCCTGAGACTTCTGCCGCTGGGTAAACTGTTCCAATTGGTGGCTTAATGAGTTTACAGAGCTGGGGAGAGGTGGGGGGGTGTGAGCTAATGAAGCGGCCCCCGGGAGAGGGGGTCCCGCTGTGAGGGGGGCCCTCAGCAGCCCAGATGTGCAGGGACTCTGCAGGGAGCGCTGCCGTTTCTCAGGAAAGGAGATTAACTTGGGAGAGCGCGGTGTTAACACAACTGAGGCTTTTCTTAGAGGACTGTCACTCGTCAGGAAACAGAAACTACAGTCAGGACAGGGTCAAAGGTCAGGGGGAGCTGCAGTGTGATATAAGACACATTATCACCCATTATAATGCTGTGTTATGGTGGAAAACTAAACATATTATCAAATGATCTCAAGTTCAGAATAAAAAATGTATTTATCACAATCAATTTCAAATCAATTGGCTTTGAGAGGACTTTAAAAGTGCTGTGTAAAATCGATACATTTTTCAACTATAGTCTGAAACACTTGGCATTTTAGTCAACTTTAGGATCTTCAAGTCTACAGGATAAAGTTCAGAGGGTTTAAATGGTAAATGGACTGTACTTATATAGCGCTTTATCCAGTCTTTAAGACCCCTCAAAGCGCTTTACATACTACATGTCATTCACCCATTCACACCCATTCATACAGAGCAGTGTACCTTACTCTAGGACCTAACATTCACACACATTCACACCCCGTTGGCCATGCCATCGGGAGCAACTCAGGGTTAAGTATCTTGCCCAAGGATACATCGACATGTTGACTGCATGGGCTGGGATCGAACCCACAACCTTCTGGTTGAAAGACGACCACACTCCCTCACAGCCACAGTCGCCCAGAAAAGGTTTGTTTGCACAGCAACCCTTTGTATTGATGAAAAAGATCTCTTTCAGCAGGTTGAACCAACACTGTTTGATTGTTGAAGTCAACTGGACATCATGAGTGTACTGGAGTTCCAGGCGGTGCGGAAGACTTTGTTTGGGCTCAGAAATGCCTGGTATTCCTGTCACAAAGCTCCGTGAGGAACACACAGCGTTGGTTTTACGACAGCCCCTCTTAAAGTTTACGACGTGAGCTTTGATATGTCGCCCCGCAGACGGATATGAGCAGAGACAGCAGCTTTAGGCAATTAACAACAGCTCTAACTGTCATGTCAGAGAGAGAAGGACTCTGAAAAGATGCTTTTACTGAAATATATTGAGCAACAAGTGTCATATTGTGTTGTTTCAATTACATGTTTACGAGCACTTCTCTGGGATTGTGTTTACGAGTCTGCTCATCCCCCTGTTTGTTGTTTAGTCCTGATTTTAATGAAGTCTACTGCAGTAAATAATGTTTCAAACACTTAGGACTACATGTTCTCTAAGAGACTTGTTTGTGGAAGTGATAATTAGCAGGAGCAAAGCAGGCAAATATTCAGGGCTCCAAGAAAAACATTGTAAAAGGGATCCTTGTATTGTTAAACCTGTAAAAAGTTCATATAACGTTGCTCGTCTAGACGCAGCTGTTCTGACTAAAACGTCTTGTAAATCTTCCTGTTTTGTGTTTTCTCACCAATATGTGATTTGTTTTAGCAGAAATTAACAATAAAGTTAAAAAAAAGTGATCTTGAAGGTTTAAATACATATTGGTAAGCAATAAATCTGTCGTATGTGTAAGTGCAAACTGTGTATAAGTACATAAGTCATGTTAATACTTTGATGTCATTCTACCGTGATTTGTAGTTTGTACGATTCCAGAACGAATGTCCTTTCAGACACTTTCAAGTATGTCTTATCGAGCAGGATACTCTTATTTTTATATCCTTTTCCTTGTAGATTTTTGAATATTTCCCTAATTTTGGTCAGCTAAACAACTCCTTGTCATAAAACCAATGGGATTTAACATTGGATTTTGGATAACTACAGTTATAGCTTTAAAATGAAATTAAGGAAATGCAGAGTCTTCACCTCATGGGGCGCGGAAGGGCTTCTAAGCCTTTGGCCCAGCGAAAGTCTAGGATCACCTCTGATGAATAGCAAATTGCTGCATCAATTAGGGAGCTTTTACAACTATGAAAATGCGTTTGGATTAAAAGTAGACAGATTTGAACTTGACACAAGTGATTCATTTTGCTGCAATAACCTTGAGTTTCTCTGAGGGAAGGGTCTCAGTGTCCCTATTTGTCTGTCTCTGCAGGTCATCTAACCTGTGGACCTGCAGACTGACAGGAATGCAGCCTCACGGTCCACGTCTGCAGTTTTGTCCTTTTTACAGGCAAGATGCGTTTTTCCTGCATTTTTTTTACATATTTCTGAGACTCTCTATTAGTAGCCTATGTCTTGTGGGTAAAATCACGTGATTTGCATTAGCCATAAAAAGTTAATTCCACCTACCTTGTTGCGCCAAAGCTCCTAATTGCACCATCCACAGCAACGCGATGCGTAAATATCTAGAGGACACGGGCTTCAATGCGCTGCAGTCCATATCTAGAGAGATGTGGCACACTAGCTTCAGTCTTCGGGTCCCATCGAGATAAACTGCGAAAGTAGCGCAAACTGCACTTATCTTCAGATAATTGGAGAAAAGAGGCTTCAATTTGCGCTCCTTTCTCTGCAGACTGCGGGTTCCATATGAAGAGTGCGCAAGATGACCGGAGGAGAGGAAGGAGGAGGAACTAGACTTCATAGGAGTCCGCTCCCATAGGTGGGTCCTCTGTGCCCCCCGTCACATGCGTTTAAATCACTAAATGATGCGTCACAAGCGTCAAATCTGAGCGTAGATAACACCATGTGATCCATGCGTGAAAGTGTGCGAAATGAAAGTTATCACATCAGATGAAAGCTATTAAAAGACACGTGTTGCTGAGAATGTTGCCACATGTTCACATCTGTACAACAAGCCAAACTTCTGACACATTTTGAAACATTTTTCGAATCTCGTGTTAATAAAAAAAAAGAACATGGATTTTAGTGCAGCAGACTTTACATATTACTCCTCTCAGTTTGCAGCTGTGTGTGTGTGTGTGTGTGTGTGTGTGTGTGTGTGTGTGTGTGTGTGTGTGTGTGTGTGTCTCTCAGTTGGTATGTCTTCCTCTAGTGTGTCTGCACTAAACGGGGACATTTGAGTTTTGCGGTCCAAAAATATCATTATAATATCCAATTTCTTCCTGTTAAATAAAAAAGGGGGACACATCTGGGTCAATGTAATTTCGAAAATGTTTTAACTGTTGGATACAACAGAAGGACGATAGGCTCATAGAGACTCAAAGGTCTTTTTATTTTGAAATGTACATTCAGGATTGTCCAGATTCTACCTTGAGTGACTAGATGGGGTGTCCTGCTATCACCTGGAGTGAAATAAGTCTTTGATGATTGACAGGTTTTTTATTTTATTCTTGTATTAAAACAGGGAAGGACAATAGCCCATATATGAAATTTCAAAAGTATTTTATTTGAAACCTCTATATCAGATTGTCCGGATTTTTCTCTGATTGACTAGATGGGGTGTCCGCTATCAGACCTGAGGTGAAATAAGTAGCCTATTTGATTGGGACCTATCGAATGATCTTTGATTATGGACAGTTTACACTTAAATAATAATAAAAATATAGATGGACAATAGATCTAATTTGAGATTTAAATTGTGCCTTCAGAAATTAATGTTATTTTAGGAGTGTTGTGGATGGTGTTCCAACATCAATAGGAAATTAGTCACTCAGTGGAAATGTCTAGATATGTCTTCATAAATGTATCACTACATTTTACCATTAAATCAGTTATAAATGTGGTAGTTACAGGGTAGTTTGTTTTAAATGATTATTGAATCACATTACATATTTCTTAATTTAAGCTCCAATATATATGAATATGTTTAGTGTGTTTTTAGGTAGGCTATTATCTTGTTATGACCGAGTAAAACGCTTTTATTTGAAGGGGCCGTTTTACAGGGCTCTACCGTAATGCATAGGATATTCGCGCACGCATACAACGTGCCGGGGCTGGCTTGACTGTGTTTTTCCGGAGTGGGGGGCTGGCATGACCACAGTATGTTTCCCCAGTGTTATCCTGACATGGGAAACGTTTTTTTCACCTTGCTATGTTTTTTTTGAACGTATTATTAAAAAACGGGGACATTTCCGGGACAGTTTCAACCGGGGACGTCTGGTCACACCTAGTAGTGTAACTGTGTGTATACTATACAGCGTGTCAGATCTGTGGAAGTAACGAGCAAGCCTGAGCCAGGGCTGTATTTAGAGGAACATGAGGAAAAAAAGGATGCACATGATTATAAATTATTAACCGATGGCGCGACTTTATAAGAAAAATTGAGGAACAATGATGCATTGTTATTAATCATGGGTTTAATTTTAAGCTGTTTTGACTCATATCTTCACATTAATGGCTTTCTTTTTTTAATTGCATATAATGCTCATTATTTGTACAAGAAATGCATATAGCAAAGAATACACACAAAAACCATTTTTCTTCCTTAATAACCACAACACAAAAATCAATATAGGAGTTTCTACTTAATTTTCCTTCTCAAATTGTAATACATTATGCGAAATTGAATACTTGAACAGCAAATGATGCATTTTGTTTTTTCTAAAGCTTAGGAAAACCCCTGAATATTAACTTGCTGAAAGCTCATCCTCTCTCCTATGTGGACTGCAGGGGGAGAGGAGGTGGCAGTAAATATCAGGTGCTGCAGGCTGGGCACAGATCTAAAAGAGAAATACCTTTCCACTAAATAAAGAGTGAGAGCAGCGGCAGGTGTTCTGGCGTCGCTTCTCATTCAGGGACTTCCTCTCCAGTGAAGTGAGGAAAGTCTCGGCCTGCAGCTTTCAGACGTGCACTTGAGAAGGTTAAAGCTTCACTATTCACCCCGTGCATCAGTTCAGGGTTCAAATGGATTCAACCTGATTTTTTTTTTTTTTGCGTTTCAAACCAACAACTTCCCCTGCAGAAAGCCATTGATGCCACCACTCCCACCACTCAAGTTATTGTGAAGAAGTTCTCAATACCTGCTGATACTAAATGCACCATTCCCTCACATATTATGTCTGCTTTCTCTTAGGAATAATATTATCAATTTTCCTTTCAATACATTCAATTAGAGTGGGCTTATTTCAGTGTTTTAAATACCTTTAAAGGCGCACGGT